TCTTCCTCCGCAGCTTTCACTCCTAGACCTCCATCTTGCACATCTATGTAGAGCCTGGCTCTACAATTTCCTCTGAATCGTATCTTATATTCAGTCATCAGAGCTCTAACTTTAGCATCTAATTCATTTGCTCTTCTCCTCAAGCTATTGAATCTTCCTTCGCCGAAAATTATACACGTTGCCGCGTATCTAACTTTCGGCATTACTTCCGTATTATAGCTGTTGATTTTCTGTCCTGCTGTAGCATCACTTCTTAGGATTTCTTGTGCTGCTTCTAAACATGCATCTTCCGTCCTCGTCCATAATTGTCCTATGTTCATCAGAGCGTTTTGCTCTATTCCTAAATATCTGTAACAGTCGGTTGATCCTAATATTGGTATCTGTCCGACTTCTCTGACTCCGCCTCTCAGTTCGCCTTGTCTGTAATTCATCGACTTTATTGCGCACTTTCTTGCATTGAGCTTCAAGCCGATCTGTTCGGCCACCTTCTCTATTCCATTCTTTGCCCTGACAAGTTCATTCCAATTACACGTATATACCTTCAGGTCGTCCATATAGAATATATGTCCGACTTTCAAAGGGCTATCTTGACTTCCTTTGATCACTATCTCATATGCTCTGACTTTTTCGCGCAACCAATACGATATAGGCGTGATGGCTAGGACGAATAACAGGGGACTTAATGCATCTCCCTGCAGCAATCCATTCTTGATTGCTAGCATTTCGCTTTTAACCAGGTTTCCTTGATACTTTCCAAAGTATCTCACTTTCTGATTCTTCATCACTTTATTCAACAGCCTTAGTATCAATGGGTTGATTCCCCATCTCTTTAGGATCCATCTCAAACTCTTGTGTGCGACTGAATCGTACGCTTTTGTCATGTCTATCCACAACATGTGGAGCTCTCTATTTCGTCTCTGTGCATCTCTTATTGTTGCTTGGTCTAGGATGTGCGCGTGCATACATCCACTTAATCCTTTCTTCAAAGCGAGCTGTTCTGGCGCTAGCTGCCCTTCTACTTGCTTCATCATTAAGGTGGCCATCATTCCTGTTAGAATTTTATAGCACGTGTTTAAGCACGTTATGGGCCTATAATCGCCCGGCTCTTTACTTTCCTTACCCTTTTTGGGTATAAGCACAACTCTACCTCGACAAAACCATTGTGGTATGAGTTGCTTCTCTTTTCTAAGAGCTCTCGTGCACCAGTCTTCTAATCTACGTTTCGCCACCTTCATCGTCTTCCACCAATAGGCCTGTATTCCGTCTGGGCCAGCCGCTTTCCATGGCTTAATCTTCGCCAACAGCTCTTTCCATTCTTTTGCTTCCATTCGCACTACTGTGCTCTCCTGGTCTCTCTGTGCTTTCATTGATCTTGACCACTCTTTCAATTCTTCACCAATATTCACCTTCTGTGGTTCTCCCACAATTTTCTTCCAGAAGTTGTGTATCTCCTCTATAGGCAACTCCATGTCGCTCCTTCCTTTTCTATCTCTTCCACTTATACTCATTACTCCA